GCGACGCCACTGAGATAGCAGTGGCTTCTGTCATTCTGCCGCAGCCAGCTGAGGCCCTGCGACAAAAGAAAGCTGCGGGTTTTTGTCTCACTTCCCCAGCAGAGCGCATCACTGTGCAAACTGCCAGGTGCTCCCACTGCCTTGAGCAGCTGCGCAGTGATATGCAGCCTCATCTTCTGCCTGGGCTCCCGTGATGGTCAAATAGGCGGCGTTCATGGAGGTGTCTTTGGAGATGGAGAAGCGAGCGGGGACCCCGGAGCCGTGGCCCTTGTCGGAGTCTGTGTAATAATTGAGCAGGTATCGTGGGGGACTGCCAGACTCTTGCTGGAACCAGTACACACGGTAATTGCTGACACTGAATCCACTGCTGAACGCGCAGGAGAGTTTCATGGTGCTCCCCAGAGGCTCGGATGCTTCAGGAGGCTGCGTGAGGACCAGCCGAGAGTGGGAGCCTGGAAGAAGAGAAAGGGAGAAGTGGCCGCGTCTGCAGCACCCCACTCACCCGAGGAGCGATTCTGAGGAACATTTGCCCACCCCACCTGTGCTCCACATCACCACAAAGCTGACAGGGAGGACCCAATGCATGGTGAGCAGATCTGAAGCCTGGGCACCAAGAAAAGGAAGCTACAAGGCTGGATGTCCTGGCAAAACCTATATATCAGTCCTCTCAAGGGGGTGGGGCATCTCTGCTCCCGCTCCATGCTAATCAGCTGCAGCGGGGCTACTTAAGCTGGACGTACCACTCCTGGGCCAGCTTGGCTAGTCTGCTATGGCCCTGCAAGTCATGATTTCCCTGTGCGCTGGCTTATTTCTTGATTTGGGGTGTTTCCGTACTGTTCGGTTAGACAAGCTCTTCTGCTCCTGCAAACATGCTGAGAGAGGGACTGCGAGCACCGATCTCAGCAGTGTGGAGTCATTTGAGCCTCTGTAGAGGCCAGCAGTGGCCTGTGGCCATTCCTTTTCCTCTCCCGCCAAGTTCCCCAGGAGAAGCCCCTTCGCCTTGGGAGCAGCTTCCTTCCCGCCTGGATCGTTGCGTTGCAGCATCCTGATTTGGGGATGGGTGCTAGGAAGAAAACAGAAACAGAAACCATAATGGGCCCTTCCTCCTGTCATTTCATTCTGCCTGGAGGATTTGCAGTTGTGAGCTGGATATTGTTCTGTCCAGGTTTTCAATGTAAAGCGCTGCACCATTTTTGCACTGGGAGACAGAAATATGCTTAAAGCACCGGCCAACTAACTAGTATCTCTTCCAGTCCTTTGATGTTGCCAATGCAGTGTGGTTTGTGGTTGTGCAAGCCTGATGGTTCCCCTTGGCCTTGTAAAGGGAAAAGCCCTTTGTTCTCATTCTTCTCCTTTTCCCCCATGGAGGGCCTCTATGTGGGACAGCTGGGAAAAAATGGTGGCTGTACAACCACAGAAATGAGAAACATCACTTAAAGAACAGTGGCTGAAACAATGACAAAGTCTGGATCACAGCTGGATCACTGTTAGGTGCTATAACTACTGATCAAGGTAAGGCTCTTGGAATGCCTTGTTGGATGGAAGGCTCAGCAGATCTCCAACTGAGGAAAAGAAGCACGTGCTGAGGTCAGAGAGAAGTGCCAGAAACCAGTGAATGTCACACCTCACCTGTGAGGAACTTGATGGACCAAGAGAAGCACCCAGTCATGACCAATGTGAGGGCAAGCGGCCGATGCTCAGCCTACACTTCACTTCTGCAGCCTCCAAAGAGACCACCCAGCAGAACGAATAGAGCTGCCTCTTCAGATTGCTCTGCCATGTTCCCTTGCCCATTCTCAACCTCAAATAACATTTTATGTAGGTGGGGGAGGGTTAGGCAAAGGGAGTGATGCTGATTGGAGGGAGGAGGGACAATGGTCCAATCACCTTTTCTAGGTTCCAAATGGCAGCCACCCACTACACCTGCAAGCCTCTTCCCCTGGAAAGATGAAGTAATTTTGACTTGCAGTGGCAGGAGATCTTAAAGTGCCATGCAGAGGTGCTCTTCCCCACCAGTCCCCAAACCCCCCCCCCCACCAGTCGCAGTCCCAAGTGCAGAGTGCCTTAGGCAGGGTCTTGATCAATCCAGTTGTCTGATGCCAGCTCAAGAAAGCTAGCCAACTAAGTCACATCCGGAATTCCCTCTGTCTAGTCCACCATCCCTGAGGGTGGAGCTAACTCCATTTGGCAGAGAGTGAGAAGGCCGAGGCAGATTCATTCTGCAGTCACCTGCTCACATGAGCAGAATTCAATGCACAATTAGCAACTTCATGAACCTGGTGAATGTTCCTTGCTCAAAAAACCAGTCTTGGCTGGTAAGGGGAAAGAAAGAAAAGCAAGACGACTGCAGTTTGAAGCCTGTTTTTGTTATCTGCTAGGAAAAGAAAAGGGGAGAAGCTGAGGGAGACAGATAGGCACTGCCTTATGTTGTAGGAGTGGAGCTGCCTGTCCCAAGACTTGACTTGCCTACTGCATGGTCTGTTGATCTCTTTGTCCATTGGACAATCTTCTGCGAATGGTGTTCCTAGGAATTTGAACTCAGACAGTTGTTTTGTGGCTGTTCCCTCTATATCTAAGTTTGCTGTCTGTGTATTGTATAAATGAGGAGCAGAGCCCCTATAAGGGAGGAGAGAGGAGGTTTTGGTCACACTTCCCCATCAGAGCGCATCACTGTGGAAACTGGTAAGAGTTGTCACTGCCATGATATGTTGTGCAGAAACAGTTGGCCTCATCCTGCGTGGAGTGGAGGACTCTTGCCCAGGGGGACTTGTCTTGCATTGGAGGAGCTGCCCAGTGCGCTCCATGCAGACATTGCTCCTCCGTCTCCTCATTCCCCTGCCCAGGTTGCTAAGGCGTGGGGCTTGTATTTCCTGAAAAGGGGTGCCAAATGCTTTCCCACGTTGAATGCCACACTGATCATGCTCAAGGAAATGGCCTTGCAGTGGGAAAGGAGATTAGAGAGTCATCCCCTCAGTGTGAATACCTTCAATACTCGGAGGTGGACCCCGCATTGCATACAGGATGAGCACAGCGCATGTGAGGGAAGAGGAGAGGAGGTTTTTGTCACACTTCCCCATCAGAGCGCATCACTGTGCCAACTGCCAGCTGCTGCCACTGCCATGAGCTGTTCCACAGTAATAATCGGCCTCGTCCTCTGCCTGGACTCCAGAGATGGTCAAAATGCCACTGTTGGTGGAGGTGTCCTTGGAGCCAGAGAAGCGAGCGGGGACCCCCGAGCCTTGGTGCTTGTTGGAGTCCGAGTAATACTGCAAGAGGTATTGTGGGGGGCCGCCAGCCTTCTGCTGGTACCAGTTCACATATTGGCCACTGACGCTGACTCCGCTGCTGAAGGCGCAGGAGAGCCTCACGGTGTTTCCCAGGGACACGGATGCGGACGGAGGCTGAGTGAGCACCAGCTGGGAGTGGGAACCTGGGGGAAGAGAAGGGGAGAGAGCGTCACATCAGCACCAGGCTCCAGACTCATCCCAGCAGGAAGGTCGGACGATGTGGCGCCTGCCCCACCTGTGCCCCACATCACTAGGAGGCTGAGAACGGGAGCCCAGAACATGGCGGAGAGATCGGAGTCCCCAGCAGCACAAGGAGGAAGCCCAAGCACTGCCGGCCCCTGCAGCCTCCCCATTGATATGGGTCCTCTGAGCTGGTGGGCGGGGCATATCCGCTGAGCCTGCATGCAAAGCGGCTCCCACCCCACTCGTCCTGCTGCTCACGGGGCCGCGTCTCAGCGAGTGGGGCTGTGATCCCTCGACGTGGCAATGGGTCCCTCTGTCTCCCGGAATGTGGAAGCAGAAACAGGCTTCCGTCCCAGCGGAAGGGCTTTGCAGAAGTCTTCCTCTGTGCTGAGGAACTGGGGGTCACCTGAGTCTGCAAACCCTCCTCCAGCCCGACTGCACAACAGAAATGAATTTTCACACATTCATTCCCTTATTGCAATACTAAATTTGTATTCCAGCTGCCTGGGAGGATAATGCACTCTCTGGAAACTGCTCTCTTTCCGTATCTGGAAAGTGGCATCCATTAGATTTCCAGGGCTTGTCACCCTCTATACTCAAAATTTGCCCGGTTTGGCTTTCCTTACATACGGTTGTTCTCCTCTTCCTGTACTACAGTATTTCAATACTTCCCTCCCTCCTGAATAGAAGAATTTCTAAGCAATGGCGAAGATCAGGGGCACGTCTCTGGAGACCCAGGCTGCCCTCTGCTGGCGGAATGTGTGGATGCAGGCACAGTTCAGGGCCTGCTGGGTTTTCCATCCTTCCTTCTTCTTTCCCTGAAGCTGAGCAGCGTGGTCAAAGCACGGGGAGCCACTTTTGTTCAGCAATCTGGGGGCAAAGAGGAATTCTGAATGTGAAGAATTACTGCATTTCTTCTTTCGTGGCAGGGACAAACCACGAGAGTCCCCAGCTCCCGCTGGGAAGGCAGATCCTCTCACACACGGCTTCGCTGCTCACGTGTGGGGATGCCGACTCCATATTGTGGGGGAGCAGGAATAAGTCTAGAGCCTGAGAGCTTCGGGTAGTGTGGATTTCAATACCATGTGAGATGGCTTTTATCCTCATTCCTGTTATCTCTTAAAGTATCAGTTAATCATATTGTATCTCCACGTTCTTCCTTCCGAGGAATGCAAGGCAGCATCCGTCATTCTTTCTGTCCTGCGCTTCCTCTTATCCCCACAACAGGAACCCTGTGAGGTAGGCTGGGCAGAGCTTGTTCTTCACTCCACATTGCGTGCAATGCCTCAGTTGTCCCTGATGAAGGGGCTAATTTGATGGCCACGTGGCAAGTTTGGGTGTTTCTTCTTTGCGGAGCTGGGCTGCCCACCAGGGCGACAAGGGGTCCGTTTCACTGCTGTGGCAAAGGCACTGGTTGCAGTGGGTTGTGTGGCTCATCTGAACAGAATGCCAATCCCAAAAGACGTGAGCAAAGGACATGACAATGCCATGAGGCTCAAAATCAGAATCCTTCCCTTGCTTGTTCATGTTTGCTTCTTCTAGTGGGGGGTCTGGATGATGTGAAATGGGTGCTGCAAATGGTTTGCCCAAACCTGCGTGCAGTGGAGGCCTCTTGCCCAGGGAGGCTTGTCTTGCACTGGAGCAGCTGCCCAGTCCGCTCCATGCAGGCACTGCTCCTCCGTCTCCTCATTCCCCTGCCCAGAGTGCTCAGGCGTGGGGCTTGTATTTCCTGAAAAGGGGTGCCAAATGCTTTCCCACATTGAATGCCACACTGATCATTCTCAAGGAAATGGCCTTGCAGTGGGAAAGGAGGTTAGAGAGTCATCCCCTCAGTGTGAATGCCTTCAATACTCGGAGGTGGACCCCGCATTGCATACAGGATGAGCACAGCGCATGTGAGGGAAGAGGAGAGGAGGTTTTTGTCGCGCTTCCCCATCAGAGCGCATCACTGTGCCAACTGCCAGCTGCTGCCACTGCCTTGAGGTGCTCCACAGTAAAAATCGGCCTCGTCCTCCGCCTGGACTCCAGAGATGGTCAAAATGCCACTGTTGGTGGAGGTGTCCTTGGAGCCAGAGAAGCGAGCGGGGACCCCCGAGCCTTGGTGCTTGTCGCTATCTGAATTGTACCACAAGAGGAATCGTGGGGGGCTGCCAGGCTTCTGCTGGAACCAGTACACATATTGGCCACTGACGCTGACTCCGCTGCTGAAGGCGCAGGAGAGCCTCACGGTGTTTCCCGGGGACACGGATGCGGACGGAGGCTGAGTGAGCACCAGCTGGGAGTGGGAACCTGGGGGAAGAGAAGGGGAGAGAGTGTCACATTAGTAGCTGCCGCTAGACTCATCTTAACAGCGGGAAGGCTGGAAGGTATTGATCCTGTCCCACCTGTGCCCCAAATCACTAGGAGGCTGAGAACGGGAGCCCAGAACATGGTGGAGAGATCCGAGTCCCCAGCAGTACGCAAACGAAGCCCTGAGCACTGCTGGTCCCTGCAGTCACTTCCATTTATATTGGTCCTCTGAGCTGGTGGGTGGGACGTATTCGTTCCACCTGCATGTAAATCAGCTCCCACCTCATTGGTCCTGCAGGTTGCACGGCTTTGATCCTTTGGCTTCGCAACGTGTCCTCCCATCCCACCCTCCAGATGTGCGATGTATTAACATGCTTTGGACTCAGCTGAGCAGCTTTGCAGAAGTCTTCCTCTGTGTTCATGAATAAGTGCCCACCTGAAGCTGCAAACCTTCTCCATCCACAGAAAGCCATACAAGCAAACTTGATATCGTCTCCATTGAAAACTGCTTCCATTAGATTTCCTGGGCTTGTTGCCACTCCCAGCACACGTGTGGCGACACCTCCTGCATATTGAGGAGGAGCTTAAAATTTGCCCACATTGACTTTCCTTTGAGATTGTTCTTCTCCTCTTCCTACAATGCAGCATTTGAATACATCCCATTCTTCCCAATAGAAACATTTCTAATTAATTAACTAAGATCAGTGCTGTTGCTCCTAGAGCAAGGCTGCCCTCTGCAGGCTGCGATTGTAGGTGCAGTTCAGGGCCTGCAGAGCTTCCCACCATGCCCCTCGTCTTCCCTTGAATAAGCAAAGCAGACGGTTCAGCCCATGCAAGGCCTCTTCCCTGCAGCAGAATGAGGTCAAAGAGGAATTCTGAGTGTGAAGAATCGTTGCAGTTCTCTCTTCTCGGGAGGGGCAGACCAAGAGAGGTTCCAACTCCCACTGGGAACACAGGTGCTCTCTCAGAGCACTCCCCAGCTCGCATCCCCAAGGACACAAATCACCATTTCCCAATCAGGAGTGGAAGAGGCTCTTGCGCGGCTCCCTCCTACAGCCAAAGTACTGTGGAAAGCAATGTGAGTGGAAAGGCAAAGGCATTTCCTTTTTGTCAGCACCATAAGACTGTGGGCTTGCAATTCCCAGTGGAAAAGTAGATTTCTCTCCATCCCCATCCCCATCCCCATCCCCAAACCCCTTTCACCCTGATTGCCAACATCTGGGAGGGGAGGGAAGTTTCCTGGTTCTTTACTGGCTCTGGCTGCAGAATTCCTCACTGCAGAGAGGCTGAGAATGGGAGCCCAGAACATGGCGGAGAGGTCCAAGTCCCCAACAAAATGAGAAGCGACCCCAGAGCACTGCTGGTCCCTGCAGGCTTCTCCATCTGCATCAGTCCTCTGAGCTGATGGGCGGGCCATCCTGGTTCCACCTTCATGTAAATCTGCTCCAATCTCATTGGTCCTGCTGCTCACGGGACCGCCCAGAGGGGGACGATCCATCCCTTCTGGGCAAATGGGACTTCTCTTCCATGGCTTGCAATGCTTCCCTCCCTGCACCTTGTGTGGTGAAGAAGAGGGTAGCAAAGGGAAAAGGCAAATGCTCAATTGTTGTTCAAGGCACGGACATACTAATTAGAAAATACATTTTCTGATAGAATGTTTTGTACAAGATAGGCAATTAATGATAGCAATCAATTTCATGCAATAGTCATTTTATGTCATCAAGATAACACCATGATGGTGTTGTCTGTGTCTTCCTGGGTTTGTTGCCATCTGTACTTAAACTTTGCCCATTTGGGCTTCCCTTTGATATTACTCTTGTCTTCTGACAATGCAGCTGTTGAATGCAGCCCACCATTCCCAATAGATCAGTGGTGTTGCTTTTGAGGCCAAGGCTGCCCTCTGCTGGTGCAGGTAAGGGCCTGCAGGGTTTCCCATCCTTCCTGAAACAAGGCGGACAGTTCAAGCCATGCCGAGCCCCCTTTCTGCAGCGGTTTGAGCACAAAGAGCTATTCTGAAGGTGAAGAATTGTTGCAGTTCTCCCTTCGTGGCAGGGGCGGACCCCAAGAGTCTCCAGCTCCCACCGGGAAGGCAGATGCTCTCACACAAAAACTTCCCAGGTCATGTGTGGGGATACCGTTTCCATACGGTGGGGAAGCAGGAATAGTTCCAGGTGTCGAGTGCCCCTGCTTTGCAGAGCTGGGCTGCCCAGCAGCTTGACAAGGTGTCCTTTTCCTTGCGGTGGCAAAGGCTCTGATGGAACTGGGTCGTACGGCTCATCGGAACAGAATGCCCAACCCAAAAGGGGTGAGCAAAGCAGGTGACAACGCCATGACGATCAAAATTAGAATTCTTTCCCTTGTTTTTTTCCCTTGCCTTCTTTTTAGTGGCATGTTTGGAACTATGGGCAGTGCAAATGGTTTGCCCAAACCTTCATGCAGCGGAAGCCTCATGGCCAAGTTGGCTGGTCTTGCACTGGCAGGGTTCGCATGGTGCTCCTTCCACACATTGGTTCTCCTTCTCCTCATTGTCTGTTCCCAGTTGGCTCAGGCTTAGGGCTTGCATGTCCAGAAAAGGAGGTGCCAATTGCCTTCCCACAGGCAATGCCGCCTTCACCTTACTCGAGAAAATGGCCCTGGAGTAGAAAGGAAAAGGGAAATCATCCCCAGTGTGAACCTCTCTGTTTCTCTGAGCCGGTCCTTGCATTGCATGCAGGATGAGCGCAGGCCATGTGGGGGAAGAGGAGAGGAGGTTTTTGTCGCACTTCCCCATCAGAGCACATCACTGTGCCAACTGGGCAGTGCTGCCACTGGCATGAGCTGTTCCACAGTAATAATCGGCCTCATCCTCCACCTGGACTCCAGAGATGGTCAAAATGCCACTGTTGGTGGAGGTGTCCTTGGAGCCAGAGAAGCGAGTGGGGACCCCCGAGCCTTGGTGCTTGCTGCTATCTGAATAATAGGTCAGGAGGTATCGTGGGGGGCTGCCAGGCTTCTGCTGGAACCACTGCACAGGATAGCCACTGATGCTGACTCCGCTGCTGAAGGTGCAGGTGAGCCTCACGGTGTTTCCCGGGGACACGGACGCGGATGGAGGCTGAGTGAGCACCAGCTGGGAGTGGGAACCTGGGAGAAGAGAAGGGGAGAGAGTGTCACATTAGCAGCCGCCGCTAGACTCATCTTAACAGTGGGAAGGCTGGAGGGAATTGATCCTGTCCCACCTGTGCCCCAAATCACTAGGAGGCTGAGAACGGGAGCCCAGAACATGGCAGAGAGATCGGAGTCCCCAGCAACACGAGAAGAAAGCCCCAAGCACTGCCGGTCCCTGCAGGCATCTCCATTTATATTGGTCCTCCGAGCTGATGGGCAGGGCATATTCGTTGAGCGTGCATGCAAAGCAGCTCCACCCCACTCGTCCTGCTGATCACGGGGCCGCGTCTCAGCGAGTGGGGCTGTGATCCCTTGACGTTGCAATGGGTGCCTCCGTCTCCTGGAATGTGGAAGTAGAAACAGGCTTCTGTCCCAGCGGAAGGGCTTTGCAGAAGTCTTCCTCTGTGCTGATGAACTGGGGGTCACCTGAGTCTGCAAACCCTCCTCCAGCCTTACTGCACAACAGAAATGAATTTCACACATTCATTCCCTTGTAGCATTAATTGATTTTTGTTCCTGCTGCCTGCTAGCATAATGCAGTCTCGGGAAACTGCTGTCCTTCTACCTCTGGAAAATGGCTTCCATTCGATTGCCTGGGTTAGGGGCCACTTATTCTTAAAATCTGCCAGCTTTTGCTTTCCTGACATACTGCTCTTCTGCTCTCCCTACAACACAGAATTGAATACTTCCCTACCTTCCGAGTAGAAGTATTTCTATTCAGTTGACTAAGATCTTCGGTGAGGGACACTGGCAGCAGTCCTATAAACAGCATTTGCAGCAAACACGGGTGCGCTCGACTCCCCTGCTCCTTTGAACTGACGGCAAGGGGCTCTAGACGAGGTCGCACTGGATCCAAGCAATTGCCAGCACCGCAGGATTGCCAACTCCGAGTCCCAAAATATCCCGTTTCCCTGTATGAACAGTCTTCACACCCAGTTGCAGTGCATTGCAGAGGCCTTCCCCAAAGTCGGTGAATAAGTGGCCGCCTGAACCCACCCAGCCTTCTTCAGCTCGGATGCACCATCAAAAGCAAACTTCATATCCTGTCTGGCAAAGGGCTTCCATTACGTTTCCTGAGTTTCTTGCCGTTAGTATTTAAAGTTTTCATGCCTTGGGTTTCCGTT